GGGACCATACCATGGGGGGGGGAGGGGGGGTGGGAGCCCGCCGGGGCGTGACCATATATGGATCCCTTTTTGAGGATTATCATGTTGTGTATGTGGAGGGACCTGACATGGGCGCAACCGGTTTGAAGACAGGGTTGTATCTTTCGTGAAGGAGTCCGATCTTCCTGATCAGATGCCCAGTTCGTTTAGGAAGTGCCGTAGAATCAATCACTCGATGAGTTCGGTTTGGCAGAACTCTCAGAAGCCTTTGGGGCATTTTTTAGCGTTTGGAGAGAGTAGGCTGATGGTCACCCTTCAAAGTTGATCGAGATGGATATTGGGAAGCCCAGGTTACATATCCTGCATCACCTGCATCATGTCCGCACAACAAGCGCAGTAGACTTGACATTAGAGCCAGCTGCAGACTTGCCGGGGCTAATGGGCAGTGGACCACTGAATCCCCTCGAAGACTCCTATGTATGTCATCCCCTTTGTGGGATTATGGCCCTTTTCTGCAGGTTTCCGTGCTGGGATTGAAGTATTTCGAGGGTAGATACGGTGACCCCTAAACCCTAAACCGAGTATATATCCTTCACTTACTGGGGGTTAGTAGCGAATGAGGAATGTACCATGTAGGGATTATATTCCCTGTTTCCCTACTAGAAGCTCAATGTGCTCTACATTGTCCCTATAACCCCAAACCCAAAATTGTGTATTCCTACCTAAACCCTGAGACCTAAACCCTACATTATGTTCAACAGGAGGCCAAGCTTCACCCATCCAGTGTCCTTCACCGCCGCCAGCCGCCCCCGTCGCTCCCGACATGTTTTCTTGGTACTGCTTCCGCCCAGTAGCAATCTATAATCGGGGTCATATCAAGGGCTATATGTATATGTATTCATATTATAGTGAGTATCGAACTGTCACTGGGTGGGGGCAGTACCCAAGTGATAGGGCTGTGGTCACTTGCTGGAGATGCTTGGGGCAATGAAGTTGTTATAGTATATTAGGGTCTATATTGGAGTGCCCCTATTTTGGGAGACTACCATATATGTGGGCTTAAACATTGACGCGTAGGCACATGAGCTGTACCTTTTTTGGGGCCGGGGCTCTTCTGGGCTGCTTAACAAGCATAATGTTGGCCCCTCTTGGCCATAGTTTCGGCACCTAACATTCAGGGGTACCAAAATGGGACCCTAATTTAGGGAGCTACCCATTTGCTTTTTTGGTGTGGAGTTGAAGAGGTGCTACTCTTGGTTGCCACTTTGTCTTGACTCCTGAAGGTCCGTAGGAGGATTGCACACAAGGTGCAGTGATCTGGGTTGCTGTTAAGGAACTTAATTTAAGTTACTATGTTGGGGAAACCCTATTATTTGCTGTATATAACCATTATGGTAACCCTAAACCCTAAAACC